AACAAGATAACGACCCTAAGCACACAGCTAAAGAAACAAAGAAACTTCTTGCACAGCAGTGTCCAAAGTTGTTATACCAGCCCAGATCTCAACCCGATTGAGAATTTATGGCAAATTTTAAAGACACGGGTTGAAAAACAAGTCAATGAAATGCTGGTAAAAAAGCAAACGGTCACAGTTGAGGTCTTTCGTGGAGTGATTCAGAAAGGATGGGAAGAGATCGACCAAAGCACATATGTTAATTTGGTTCGTAGCATGCCGACGAGATTGAATGAAATAATTGAGGGAAATGGTAATAAGATAAACTATTAAATAGTTGTATTATAAAGAACGTATCTGTAAAGTTTTATATTTATGTCTCTGACTATTTTTCGCTACACAATTAATAAAAACGTCATTCCAAAAACTTTTGTAACACACTGTATCTCAGTTATTGTATATGTATTAGCATTAGCATATCAATTGGATACTCATATACCATGAATAATGATAATATTACCAAAAAAATGGCTCACTGACGGCACTTCAGAAGAAATTGTAGCAGTGGTGTGTGTCCTCTTAGTAAGCGCAATAGAATTTCTGGTAAATCCTCCCGAGGATTTTTGCTTTTGATATTAAAATGATATCAGAACTGCGTAAAGTGCAGAGTCAATTATGGGCTTACCATTCGTCAAAGAAATAATGGATAGTTTATAAGCACCAGTTAACTCATAAGTATGTGATGAAATAGAGATTTTCATTTCAAAATAGATACGATTATTATTTAATTTGTTATACCGATATTATGAAGTTTTCATAAACAATATCGCTATAAAGAGAGTCTCTGATTATACCGATAAAAAAGCCGGTGCCACTTGTATCGGTATAAAGAGGTTGGGAATGTAAATAATGAAAATAAGCACAATACGTTCGGACAATTTGATAATCTTGATCCGTTTGACTGTATATATATATGTGTGTTAGGGTCATTTTTAACCATTGATAAAGACCTTTATGATAGACAAGCTGGTAGTCATAACCTACTCAATGCCAAACTTTTTCTGAATTGTGATTATGTCTCATATATTAACCATACATAAAAATAAAATAGTGGGCTAAGAAATGCGTGTTTTTAATTGATGTTTTTTGTTACAACGTAATTGCAGAACAGGCAGTCTGGAGTCACTGACTCGTAATTATTTTCGAATTAAAAAAAAAAAAAAATTATAATCCGCATAGCTAAGCTTGAGAGAAATATCGCTATGCAAGACATAGACGTGCAAACTGGTGAAGTTACGGCTCAGATTATAATCGCAATTTAATTTGGGCCGAAATAAGCTTTATTTCGATGTTTTCACCATAATAGTTTTCAACCATTATGAGCATACTGTAATGAAACCCATATATTTATACAGCAATGCTACAGTAAATAAAGTGTTGCAGTTCACCATTACTTAAACTAAGAGAGCAATTTTATTACATTACATAGGCTTTATTCGCAAACTGGGGTGTAAATTGATGTTAGTTCGTAACAGTAATATTGCCCTAATACAGTAATTGTCCAACTAAGGCAGAACTATGATCTGAGCGACAATACAATCATTGCATTTGTACTTAATATTAATGATTACCATATAAATCAGCATCCCGTTGATTTCTACTCGGACATACAGTTTCTTTAATCAGATCCAACCAAGTACGAGTTTTGATATTACATCAAGTTGAAGGTTGTTATGTTCGGTCACCTGGGAGATCAATCTAATCTGACCAGGGGGGTATTCTCAAAATTTAGCTCTAAACGTGGTCTTGTTTACACGCAATTAAGGCTTGAAGGCGGCTCTTTATACCTCCTATTGCTAAGGTATAAACTCTCACTCAAATGTTGCGCTAAACGATTTAATTAAATAAACACAAATATTGCACGATAATCGAACTATTCTTTCCTGTCTGGTCTAATGCTCCAGCGTCCGCTTAATCTACAGCTAGATGTTGCTCTAACTTTTGTAAGCTGGCTTGTCCGGCTTAATCCAGCTTCCTCAGTAGGCACTTTCGTTCAGCAACAACGACGCACAATAGCAGAACTATTATTAGAACAACAAATAATAATCCTTAAGCGATTATAAATGGGCGATAAATTTCGACGCGTCTATTTAAGGAATTCCTTACGCTCGTTCTCGGCCGCTTCTAGTGAATGAGTTTATTTTAATAATCGTAGAAATTGATTTCATTACATAACGTGGTAAGGCCACTAAATGCTGTGTATCACCACACTTCAACCGCACTTTAACACTTCAGCCGTGATTATGTCAGCGGAGCTGTGTACTGCATTACGATGTGTCATATAATATACTCCGCTTGCGATAATAGGAGCTAGTAATAAATGTTTTAATTGATACACTGAAAACGGATTACGTGACATCCAATTAATTAATTATTAAGTTCTTTCGTCATTGTTATTTGGAACTTTCCAAGCATGTTGGTTGGCCAATGAATTCCAAGAAAGATCACAGACAAAGATAAAACAAAATTAGCAGTAAATATATATCCAAGGAATAACACCAATGTTGTACAAACCCTTTAACAATAAACAAAATTACGGAACTCAAGAACCTAACGATAACAACAACAACAACAACAACAATAAATAATAAGCAAATTGCTTATCGATGCTCTAGTGATACCAAATGAGTTATTATAGAAATCGACTCGCTGATTATGTTACGTGAATATCAAATAAATGGATGAATGCCAGCAGTGGCACATATTAATAGCAATCGACCATTGTTAGTGAATATGTCATCTGTATTCGTAAGCGAGCCTTAAAAGGTTGAGCAAAGTGATATTGGACAAACTATTAAGTGTTACGCACACAGGAACGATACTTGTTTAAAGCAGGAGTCTGGAATCATTTTATTGATGTTATCTTCGAATTGGAAAACAGTTTTAGAAACACCCACTTACAACATTATAGCTTATGAAAAAGATTAGTAGCGCAAGAGATATCGCAATTATTTGTGTATGTTGTACTGTGCGTGCGCTACATTGCAAATCATCCTCTTAGCAAGAAATCGAGTCACCCAAAACCCCAGAGCTCAAACATAAACACGAAACAAATGCATCTGCGCTGACAGCAAATCTTTAGCAAGAGGTATACGGAGTGTGTTTCCCAATTCTGTCGCACGAATTCCTAATATGTGCGTATAATCCCTGTCTCGCCAAGAGATGTTACACGTATTGACCAAATGATGTTACACGATATGTGCGATATTCTTAAATAGATATACAAAGAATCACATAGCAATTATTAGATATCTTAACTAAAGTCCTGATAAGGTATGCAAAAGTTCGCACAGATTATCCAATAACAAATGGGCTTCTATCTGAAAGAAAGAGAAAATCGGGTTAGCTTATTGTCTTTGTCCGAACGCATTAAAGTAAAACATAATATAATTGTATGCAATGTTAACAATGGTAGACTCATCCTGTAAACAAACTTCTTGTTCTACAAACACTGATTCAATACACAACAACATCCGATTGTAATTGAGGGAGTATGGTTAATATAATTTACATTTAGTCATAACATTGAACTTGCAGATAAGGAATGCTTTACATAAAAGACAATTCAACAGAGCACACGCTCAACCGCCAGAGCATTAATAAATGAGAAGTTAAATGATATATCTATTTGGTCAAGAATAAAATCAAAAACGTGGACAAATTGAAATTGCACTAATGAATGATAATATAGATAGTCGACACTGTATAAAGATTGACTGAGAAAGTTCCTGCTAAAAAAAAAAAAGATTTAATTTTCCGACGTTGTCATTTGGTATGTAGTTTATCACTACTGCATTGAATTATGTTCTTTTTGCCGAGTTCATATGAGATCAATAAAAACGGTAAGTGATCGTATCTTATGTTTTATAAAATTCAAACTTCATCTCATAAATCATGAACATGACATCTTCTAGTATACCACTTCATACAAGAAAAGTCCACACAATTATACTATAAAACAATCCAAACGGACAATATTATCAATCCATTGATTCAGGATCCAATATATCGTGGTTAGCATTATTATCGTTCCGACGCCCATCTTGTTGTTGTGTTGGATATGAGCCAGGGAGGAACCATGCGCCCCCACCCGATGAGGAAGACGGTAAGTTGGAATTCGCATTAGCGTTTGTGTTATGGCCGTTTTGTGAACCATCGTCATTATTTTGATCGCTTCCTTCGGATTCCTGTTTTACTAAAGAGTATCGACTATGAACGATATGTTAGATAAAAGTTTGCAGAATTAATTAAATGTACATAACGCAATAGTATTATCTGTATTATAAAATTTTTCCTACCATACGGGACAAGTTCCGTTCATTTTCAGCCACGGTTTAATACAATCATCATGAAAAGCATGATTACATGGGAGAGAAACAACTTCTTCTCCTTCACTATAGTCTTCTTTGCACACGGGACAGTTTAACTGTTCCTCAACTATTCAATAAATTCAAATTAAACCTTGGAATAACCAGATACCAAATTGACAACATAATTAACGATAACTAACCAACTTGTTTTTTAGTTATTTTGGACCTAGGCAAGTTATTTATAATATCTTCTGGTGCCGGTGGTGGTGCTGTCCTTCTAATGAGCCAAAAAATTGTAATCAATAGAATATAGTGAGCGTTCTAACGTATCTGGTGCATCTGGGATAGCGAAGTAATCGACATACGCAGCCTGTTGCTCCAATAGTTGTGTTATAATCTGATCAAGGCCTCCCGGACCCCATGCATAGTCCCGCGGATCCCCTACCATTTGAAAGAGGTTCATAAGATTTGCAGTTGTGTTGTTTCCTTGTGTGTTGTCACCAAACGCTCGTTGAAGTATTCTAAGGATAAAAAGAATTTGAGCAAAAAATGAGTTTGTCCATATCATCAGCTACCCAACAAGAACGTTCATCCAAGTGACAGTTAATTACTAGTCAACGTACTGGGTAATGGTCAATAATGGTGTTTGTGATCCTATGTTTTCACCTTCAGCTGCATTATTAGCGCCCCCCATCGATACAAACACATTCGGTCGCCCTTGTTGTCCTTGCTGTTGTTCATTCCCGTCACCGGTTTGACCTGGCTCTGCAGTATAAGTTCCAGTAGTCACCGTTGTCCCACCCGTAGTTATCGTAGCAGTAGTCGTAGTTGTCGTCGTCGTAGCGGACCCATCTGCGCCTTGTCCGGGGACAGTTCTCGTCTCTACCCGAAAGTTGGGTCCAAATACTTGCTGTAGCAGACTCTGTAGCATATGCGCAACGTCGGGTGAACCAGGAGTACCGCCGGAAGGCATATTCATATCATCAAATTCATCGTCTGCGTCGTGGTCAAGGTCAAGTTCATGGTCAGTACCCATAACTCCGGCGAATTCACGAGGATCGTTAGCTGTGTCAATCTGGCGACAAGAAAACAAATGTTAGACAAGTTAAGAGAGGCGTCGAATAAGAAAGGGAAGCTCTGTATTCAACCCTTGAAATATGATTCGAACATTTTGCAGGACACTGGGAAAGGACAATGAAAGTCAATCCACCTCTTCTACGAAATCGTTTGTGCAGATTGGACAAGTTGGGTTTGGAACCATTAACGGCTCAATTTCTCGTTGGCAAATGTGACAAAAGTACTGTGGTCTGTTACTAGGATTGTTGTTACTCGCAGCTGATGGATCGGCCATGTTTAATGTTCTTTCTTCTTCACAGTTCTTTCTCTCTCAAAGCAAAAGCTGATCTCAAAAGTATGCACGCAGTTCTGACAAGAAAACGCCTTGTAATTAAGATAAAAGATTTGATAAATGTCCGATTACGACACTTTCTATTAGAAGTGGTGAAGTAGAAGTGAGGTCATAAAGTCGCGCGCAACATTCGAGAAGATCGGTGATCATTTGATATAAAGCGAAGGTTCAAGCCACTCCATGTCACGTGAATTACCCATTCATGGTTCGGTCACGTGAAAATCATCCACATTCTTTGTGCTGGGCGGATAAGGAACTTATCCGAATTAGTATTTATTAGCCATTCAATGTGACGGAATAATTGCCAAAGTAATAGAGATAACCATTCACTACCACACATTACTATTACTTGTTGAGAGGATTCAACTGTTTTTATTTATTACACGAAATTGATAGTAACGGTCAATTTTTGTTTGTGCCCTGCCATTCCCAATATTTGCTGACCAGGCATATGATTATATCCAAACAAAGTGAACGTTGACGAATTTCGGGGGTTAAATTGTTAAACGTATCAGTTGCAATACTATAACTAATACTAGTAATCAAGACATAACCGAGGCACGGGCCGCTAATACTAATAATAACCTTTTAATTGCTGGCCATGGACGAACTAAATTAGGAAGAGCTAATACGGTTATCAGCGGTTTACCTGAAGGAGCAAAAAAAGGGTGGACAGCGTAATATTAAAAGTGACGACGTGAACATTGTCTCGAGGAGTCAGAATGCTGAGACCGCAACCAATTATTGCAATACTTCAAAGCCATACCGTAGAGATATGCATTCCCATCGAGAAGCCTGCTGAAAGAGAAGAATTGACTGACATTGTACATTATGATGGAGCCGGTACATATGATAAATTAGTCGATACAATCCGGAGGTATACACAAAATGGCGTAATGGCGTGATCCATTGATGTAATCCATGAGAATTTATAAGGCCGGAAGTTTATTGTAATCGACTTGACTAGAGCCATATATTTAATGGCATGGGGACTGTTAATTTACAAGTCATAACGTATATGTCATTTACAGGAGTAAAGTCTCGATTCTAAAATTTCCCACAAAATAGCGAACAATTCTCGGCTTTTTATTTAAAAAAATTTGTCGACTGTTAACTTGGGTCGTGTGCTTCTGCATTGCTCAAAGATGATGCTAGACGCGTCGCACTCAACTCTTGCGAAGTTATGGAACGGTTATATACTTGAGAGTTTTATATAGTAAATAGTATGTATCCATGACCCCTCCCGATTTTTGCCCTCTAAGGCTAGCGCGATCGTCAGTAGAGTATTGTTACACAGTAATACAAGTTATGTTATCATTTGACCGACTGATTAGCTAGTCGAATCCCACCACCAATGACTTAATATCCTTTCTCAGTTAGCGCCTGCCCAGCCCAAGGTATAATCAAGCTCTTTCCTCGATATATGCGTTTTCGAATTGCTTACAGCGAATGCTTCTTTCGATTCCTGTACAGCTTTGTAGCACCATTGAACAATGAGTCAACACCAGATAAAATGAGTATAGCGTTTTGGATCCAAATGAGTAATTCTCAAGTCCATGCCAGATTCTTTTTCTATAGAAAGAAATGGTCGAGCATTGTTTTTATTTTTAGTATATCAGGTACAGTACCAAGAATATTTAGAGTCATACCGATTTGAATTGCTATTCAGTTTGCAATAAGATCTTTTACATCTGCTGGTCACATACATAACACTGTATCTGTATATTGAGGAGGGGATTGAATATATTGCACTTTTGTAACTGCTCTTGCACCTTTTCAAGTCACCAATTATCGTTTACCTCGGAGATAAATAATTCCGGCGTTTCATCAAAACCCTTAAACCATTTGAGTACAACAGTGTGTCGCATATCCTCAACTTCTGAATAATTTCTATATTTGGCAGTACAGACAGCTGCATAACCATAACCACCAAATCCCGATCTCTTTGAGTTCGTAAAAGTCGCTATACTGCATGTACTTAACATGTTTGTGAAATTGTATGGACTTGTCCAATATCTGACGTATTTCATAGAACACTAAATAATATTCCCGAGTAGAGTAAACAAATACAGTTGTTAAACACTATTTATTTGCATAATTTACTTCGTCAACTATCTTTTTGAGTGTCACACGTCAATTCATTTGTCGTTGGTTCTAGCCATTTCGCTATAAGTGTGCATCCATAGCGTAATTGGACATTTGTCGATAGAGAATACTCTATCCATTGTATATATGCATCGTATTCACCCCTTATATGGGGCAGACAGACAAAGTGAAAATTTCATTATATGAATCAAAAATGGGCTGAAAGATCAACTAATACTAAGCAACTGATAACAGCTTTGGCTCATTATGACCTATTACTATGGACTAATTTTGTCATAAACTTTTTACTTGAAGTTATAACCAGACAAAGTGACTTGTTTTTCTCTGTTCCATGTTTTTCTGCTATTCAATATCCTCCATAAGTTGAAAGTAATGTAATAAGTAGCTGTCCGATATTTTTTATTTAGTTTGTGATTCTTCTATTCTAGCTTAGTATAGATCGATGAAATATGGGCAATATAAATTGTAGTAATTTCACGTTCGAATATCCATTACAGTATTTAGGTGCAAATTTGTGGATAGAACATAGATCTCTATTCTGTTAATAAGCGAGAAGTCTTTTCAACTCCTTTTTTTCCCTTTTCAATTCTGGTGATTCTGTTCCCACCACTATGCTGTTACCGAAATCAATAAAATAGAACCGATTGCTTTGTGGCTCAAAAAGGATATTCCTCGTATCAATGTCACCATGCAAAACACCACAGCGGTGTATACAATTCAGTATTTCCATAGCTATTTTCTTTTGTTTTGTAGTAAGGATTGCAGGGTCGATATGATGACTGCCTTTGGTCAACTGCATTGCTAACGCGAAAAGGTATCCACTGAAGATGTGGCCAGTATAGAATAAGTGTGGAATAGTATGTCCTAATGATAACCAATTGAATTTCACAATGTATAGTGAATGGGAAAAAAACGATTACTCATTCATACCTTGATATTTCTCTAGGATAGAGTATATATGGGATTCGTTGATTATGCCTTCACCTTTTCTTGTTCCTTGTATGATTCACAGATTTTCCATGCTACAACTTGATCATGATAAACACCAGAGAATACCTTTGCAAAACTGCCTTCACTTATGTATTTGTCTATTTTTGATTTGCTTTGTGATTTTTTGCGGATACTCTCATTTTCTTGTTTGTTTGTCTGCTGGGAAGGTTTTTCGCTCCACGCTTTCTGGTCTCCTTTGGATCATAATTGCTATCATCACTATTATCGTCACCTAAAGTAGTTAATTCGTCTTGAGTATCTGGCCCTGTAGATATAAGACTGTCAGGGTCTGAATTCAACCTTGTCCCTGCGACATCACTTTATCATACCAGAATGTGATGAATATAAACCATAACAGGATTAATATAGGACTACCTCTATATAAAAAATATTAATATGAAACTGATTTACATTAAATCCACCATGGAACCAAAGAATTACAGCACCATTAGAAGCATTCTAAAGAAAGCTCAAGGAGAAAAAATTGTTCCATATGTTTTTAAAATCAATGATACCCAAACTCTTTAGGAATATCTAGATCAAGAAAAAATAACCTATGAAATTTACCAAGAAGAAAGGAAAATTATAACTAATAAACGAGCATTAACCTCAACTTGTGATGAACCAAGAAAAAAACGAAAACTTGAAGAAGTGTAAGGAAATAAATTTAACGTAAAAGCTTCCCACTAACATCTCCATTGATTGAGTAACCTGTCAACAAAAAATCGTTCCTTCTTGATAACAACTACTCGAACGCATTCGTTGCGTGTAGATTACTTTGACACGATTGCAATTAAAAACGTCAAACAACGTAACAATAATTCAATTTTTTCGTAACATAAATTTATTATTTTGATTATTGTATGCGTGTCTCTTGAAACATAAATATAGGTAAGTCAACATGTACTGACAACGGAACAGAAGCACCAGATGGATACTATGATGTTGTCGCATTCAGTCATCTCTTACAAACGCTAAGTTTCAATCCCAACATGACTGTGACGGACGATCAGAAGGATGAGGATAATTTTCTAGATTGGGTTATGAAACTCAATCGACAATATAGAACAAATGCGAGCAATTTGGATATGCCAATAAAATGCAGCACGTTAAATAATGTTAGGACGCCTGAATGTCAAACAGCGGGTTTAATCGTTGATAACGGTCAGGTAGAGTCAATGTTACCCGTGATCGATTATAAAATAGATGACGGTTACGCGTTTGATTTTGACTTGGCAGAGTTAGATTGTCTAGAGGATGAAATTTAATAACAGTGAATAAGATACCGGTCATGCTACGCATGTAAAAAGAAGTCATACAATAAAGTTAAATACTTGTGGGAAACTAACATCATTAGGCATATTAGTGAATGCCTTCCACAAAGCTGCAGCATTTTCGAATTCTTTGCCAACAGTTATAATACTCTCAAGATTCTTATTCAGCAAGCCAATATTTGTAATAACTTGCTCCATCCCTATGCGTATATACGTAACTTTATCAATGGCTAGCGTGCAGAGACATTAATCATACACATTTCTCAATACCTGAGCAATGCTATTAATTAGATTATCGCGTTCCTTTTGGAATGACGTGCGTTCGTTGGAAGAAGTGCTTTCCATGTTTGTCAAGTGCAATTGTAGGATAATCTCATTGGTCAACAGGCGCGATATTCGGTATATCGTGAGTCACGTGGATGGGATTTTATTTGATGAGCTGCAACTTAGTTACAAAGAAAGCTGACACCTTCAAGTGCCATTCTATGCTGAAATTGGCTAAGTAAACAGAGTTAATTTGTCACCGACGTAAATGCGAAACATCCTAATCCGACACGTCGCGATCAGCATAATTTTGGGGTGTTCGATAATATTAACATAGTTAAAAGTCGAAACTAACGAGGGAGGAACACACATTTACGGGGTATACAATTTCAGAATCCACGGCGATGTACGAGACTTTACAGAGTAATGCCCCCTTACATTGAGTCTAAAGTTATGTTTCGTTATACAAATAGGAGCCAAATACACACTGTAACTATATTTATTCCATTCTCTCGTCAATGGACATTATTAAGTAAACTTATGAAAGTGCACCAGTCCCAGTCCCACGCTTCAATCTTATAGTGATTATTAAGTTTCGTTGCGCAGGTGATACCGTCATGTAAAAACAAATATAATAATCCGAATTTCTTATTCAGACTTTTTTGTCTTTCTTTTTTTAGGAGTCTTCTGTGAACTCGGAAATTCATAATCATCATTTTCTTGTCGTCGGTTTATAGACTTTTTCTTTAAGCGTTTCTTTAAAGCTTCATTGCTGTCAATCGAAGTTCTATCACTTGGGTTATTTGAATATTTCAAACATCGAGTAATTCGGAGCTGGACAAATAATAGATAAGTATAAGCTATATATGATATTGGTTGGTAATTTAATAGACCATTCATTACCTTTGCAATAAGCACATCGGAGACCATGGAAATAAGATCATCGATTTCAGAAAGATCCGTTGGTACCTTGCTAAGAGGATATCTACGAAGCCGACATATGTATCCAGATGGAATATCCATCACAAGCATTTGTAGGTATTGAGCTTAATATAATAACATTGATCAGTGTGTTTATATATAAAAAGGTATACATTATACCAAAAATATTTACCGGAATGCAAAAATCTGACAATTTCGATCTGATTCTTTTTGACAAAACTGACACCGTGCTTTTTAATTTTTTGAAATAACATATCGCGCATTACTTTGGGCATTTTCAATGATCCATCAGATAGATGTTTGGTATCGTCTTCTCCGGTCCAAGTGCGACCTTCCTCACTAACTGCGAATTCTTCTGGCGATCCTAGATCACACGCAATCCCATCACACTTGCGTCCCAGGATCTTCTTGACCTTCGAATTCTTTCTGTCACGGTTTTTTCTCTGTCTTGATGCACCAGAACAGCCTTCGCCTCGGATAAATTCAATTGTCTCAAGATCGATAAAGCAGGCATCAACTATAACACTCCAAATATTACTGGTAAACCATCCTTCTAAATGGCCTCTTGTGAAGTCATTTGGTCTCAGTTCATATCTGGGAAGGAGTTGCGAAAAGACTTGATGGATATAGTGAAAATTAAAATGTTTTTTTGAATCATAGGGAGAAATATTGATGCCAGAATTGACTAGTTCTCGCATTTCGTTAGGCTGAAATTTACGATATCTCATAAGATAATTAATCAACTCATCTGATAGTTCGGGTTCAGGAGAAGAATTATATGTAATTATATGATCATGGTCATCAACATTCTTGAAAAGATCCATTATGGCATCATTGCTGGTGTCGAGTATGAAGCTATGCAATTGATCTTCATATTGTAAATCTTTTGCATGTTCATACAATATATCTTCGACGTAATCGCCTGAGGGCAACCTCCACTTCTTATCAATATGCATATTGAGGAAGTTCATTTTATGTTCTAATTTGGCATGATCGTTCATGAAACCATCCTCTTCACTTTCAAGACTTTTTTTGATATCCTCATTACGATTATCAAGAGTTCCATTGTTGGAGTACCCAGATGCATCACCTAATTCAGATTTGGAAGATATGGAGTAGTTCGGCAATTCACGATTCTAAAAAAGATCATATTGCCATACTAATTAGGGCTATCTTGATTTGGTGTCAGAACTTTGGAATTATAATACCTCGTCCTTGTTTTCTTTGTCCAGAAATGGATTTTTTTCAAAGTCTAAAATTGTTTCTTGAGGTTCACTTGAACCAAGTGAGTGATAGAAGCTAATTATAGATACAACAAAGACTGAGATAACACAACTTACGTATATGACATCTGTAGTTCATTGGTTTCACTGAAGGTCTTTAGACAACCCCTAGAGGTCATTTTTTGAAAATTTTGTTTTCCAGCGATACCCAGCAAGTCCATACTTGCATTTAGATGTGTTTGATTTGCTAATATCTTTTTTGTGAAATAAACGAAATCAAATCTATGCTTGTATGAAGTAACTTCTAGGAATTAAAGTTTATATTACCTCTTTCCGTTCATATATAATTTCCTCCCAATATAGCTGGAATCTATTGTTTGCGCGTTCAGATTTTACCTGCGGGAACGGAGTATTAGTATAAACCTTAATACAATTTTTTCATTAAAAGAAAAGATCCAACTTCAAGTAAAGATGATATCGCAATGGTAGTGGCTGGGAAGAGAGCCAATGCTCCTAATCATGATGAGAGCAGAATAGGAGTGCCACCAGTCCATCACTCGGGTTGGGAAGAGAGCCAATACTCCTAATCATGATGAGAGCAGAATAGGAGCTCCCTAGACAAAACATAAACATAAAAATACCACCCTCTTTTCCATGATGCTGAAATTACTTGGATCCAGTTCTTTTACTTCGTATAAAAAACGACTGGCCCAGCGACCGTCGAGATGAAACCATTTGTCCAAATAAGGCGGTGACTTAAGGAGAATATCACGATGGAGTGTCAGAAATCCAGCATAGGACCACGTTGTCTTTCAGGTAACGAACAAGTTCTAGAATGTTTAGAACAAGTTAAAAATTAAGTGTTTTCTCCACCTACTATTGTCATTCAAGCTTACCCGAGTAACCAACGTAATGTTCCATCATTGTATGAAACAGAGTGAGCACAACCGTTAGAAAGAATGATATATAAAAACGCGTAATTCCTCTTTTGATTTACGTGTAACGAATGATGATCAGTCTCTGACATCACTACTTTTACATATCAGGTGATAAGCGTGAACATTCTTCACGGTACTTTAATGAGAACTAGCTCCTATACATAATAAGCTTTATGCTACAATGAGTTTATTGCTTGAACCGTTGCAGGTAAGACAATATTCCGTTTCATTTTTATACCATTCGCATGTAATCCATAATTCCCATGTTTTCCATCACAAATAGGGCATGGCGAGCTCTATGGCTGAGCGAAATTATAATTATCAATTCCTCTAAAACTATTTCGGAATTTTTAATGCTTACCAATATTATCCTTATTATAAGCAATCAGGTGTTCATTGGCAAGTAAGAAATAAAGCTAAAAGAGATATCTTTATTAGCCTCATCAAATTAAACTCCGAAGAAAGTAAAGAATTATTTCAAAAGTGATTAAATGAAGGCAAAATAGAAGATAATTTAACTCTAAAAGGAATATTAGAAAGAGGATATGAAGGATAATTATTATGATCTTAGAAATCTTTCTCTGGATGAGTTAATTAGCAGTTGAAATGAATTAACTTTTAAAACTAAGGAAAGTTTTGATAAAGTGGTTAAACAAAAGCAAGAATATGAAGAAAAAATTAAGGTTTTAGAAACAGAGCAAGAAAATTTGGAAGCAGAGATAGAATAATTAAAAGAAAGAGTAAAAATAGAGCAGGAACAAGTTAAGAAAGTTGTAGCATGTGGTGAAAAATGAAGTAAAAATCAAGCAGAATATATAAAAGAAACGGACAAGAAACTAAAAAGTGCTGGTGAAAAAGTCTCTTATCTAGAAGCCCGAGTTGAAAAATTGGAAGAGGAGACAAGTCAAAAGAGCAAAAACTAAGCAAGCAATTAGTTGACAGTGAATCACAAAATGAAAATCTAAAGAGGTTAGATTATTTGAACAGTAAACCTTTGCCTGCTTTACCTGTTGAAGAAGAAAATAAGATTCTAACTAAGCAAAGCATTTTCAAGTGATTGAAAACAAAGGCAAAGGTTGAGATTCAAAAATTGCAAGGTCTAATTAAAAAAGATAAATTTCACAACCAAGAAATGATTGCTTGAGTAGAAGTAAAGTCTAAATAACAAGTAAATTGCTAATGAGAGAACTGGAATACACAGTTTTAGAATTGGAAAAAGAAAGTAAAAAAACTTGTGATTTTTGTTCTAAACTTGAAAACAGAAATAATGAATCTGTTCATTAAATAAGGTCTCGCACTAAATATAAAGTAAATGGGGAATGAATTGCAGATGATATGGTTTGTGAAAGGTGTGAAGAAAAGTATTGGAATGATAAATTGCTAAAGTGCAATAGATGTGGTAGATTACAAACTAAGCTAGATTTTGATATTTTTATTGGTAAGAATGTTTGCTACTGTATTAGAAACAATGGAGATTTGGAAGAGAAAGAGCTCCCTCTCTTAAATAAGCCAGTCTGCTTTTTACAAAAGACAAATAAATGCTCTGCAAGAACAACTAAATGAAACTGAAGAAGCTTTAGAAATTGAAAGAGAAGAAGTAGTTAAATTTCAAGAAAAATCTGAAGAATGGGGCAAGAGACAAAAACAAGAGTCATTAGATTGAATTAAGCAACTAGAAGCAGAGAATGGCAACTATAAAGAAGAAGTCAAGAGATTAAAATCTCAGTTAGAACAATTAACTTCTCAACACATTGCTCAAATTGAAGTTAAAGAAAATAAGAGATGACCTTGATTAAAAGTAAGGAAGTAATCTAAAAATTGGTAAATTTCATAAGTAATTTTTTCTTGATTAGATACTCCTGAAGAGTTTGTGTGTCATTGATTTTAAAAACATATGGAGCAATTTTTTTGCCTTGTTCTTTTTTTAAATGCTTCGAATAGTACTGTAATTCTTTGGTTCCATGGTGGATTTGATGTAAATTAATTTCATATATTAGTATATTATTTTTACAGTAACGTGCAAAAGTATCCTACCGGTTGTATCATCTAAACGTACATAATAATAACTCCTTAAATTTTCCA